GAAAGGATAGAGAGAAATAAAGAAGAAGAGTTGAAAGGATGAAAAAAGATGAAGAACTAAGAAGAAGAAAAAGGGAGAAAAAACCAGCCAAACCCTCAGTCTCATCATTTATCTTAAACCATTCTTCTTTCTGCCAGAGTCCCTCCCCGATTTCTTCCACTTTCTAAAACCTAAAAACTATATCTGGAAGAGAGCTCGTGGTTTGTAGATTTTGAAGCTTGGAATTGAAAGGGCTATACTAAGAAAAAGAAGTTATTATATCATAACCCTTCATTTGAAATGGATGGTCATGATTTATTTACTTTTAATTAAAAGAAGATGATTCAAGAGTCATACGTCACAATTTCCGATCAACAGAAGGAAATTTTCACCCTTCCACATTTTGCTTTTCCAGGTCCCAACTCCCAAGCCATTTTAAAATTGAAAACTCATTATTACTATTATTGCTGCTACATATTCCATTGGCGACAAGTGCAGGGTATGGGCCATGGGGGATTTTCTTCCTAATATAAAATTATTAATTATATAAATTATATAGTTTTTTACTTATTTTTTCATGGTAAATGCTTATTAATATTTCTTTTTATAATTATATTTTATATTTTAATGCTTTAAATTTTATTCCTATTATTTTAAAAGAATATGTTAATCATAACCGGCTTGACCTTGGGTTGACTCCGATCTAAATTACTAATCTTTGAACTATTATCTCGACCGGTTCAGTAATCAGTCCGATTTTTAGTACTTTGAGTAATGCTACAGAAAAATTATAATTCCCTCCATATGCCATCTTCCAAGAATCAATAGTTACTTTCTAGAACATAACTACTTTGTTCTTCTAAAGGTCCACAAAATTATTGTGTCCCTGAAGATAAAGTAATTAAATTAATGCCTATGACACCAATGGGGTTTCCAAGCCTTGTAGAAAATACTGGTAAATTTTAAAATCGAGTTTCCTCATCTAAGTTCTTAAATTCTTGAGACAAATAAGCAATGCACATGGAGAGATATGCCAACTAATACACACACATATATCAATGCCTTTCGTAAAAATGTCTTAGATTGGCAAGCAATTAAGAGGTAACTTGCCTACACTTCTGGCATGTGCTTCCCTTTTGGTCCAATAGTGCCTAAGCATACAACATGATTACGAAATAAAGCAACAGACAAGGGTAATACATTGGAGAACAATTAGAAGACTATTCAATTTATTTCATCTTTGTACCAATATTCTATGCCTTCATTTAATTCAACATTGCCTACATTCTTCCAAAAGAACTAATTTAGAAGTTAAGAGCTTCAACTACCTTACCTATTGCACTTCATTGTTCTAACTTCTAGTTCACTTTTGTGAGAGTTCATTAACTTGTAATCCTTTCTATTATTTGAGAGTTTGATCTCATGATTGAGGGAACCATAAGAGGAAATTTTTAAGGAACTTGTGGGGCGTGAGAAGTGAGGATAGGGACCCTAAGAGCAAGGTTTAACTTGTGTACTTAGACTCCAAGGGTCCATTTAAATATTGTAGACTATATAGTAAAAATTTTATGAGGTAGTCTTATATACACTACTAGATGTATGTTAAATGAATTTGGATGGAGTCAATATATAAATGTTTAGTGTATTTTTCTTCTTTTTAGCTTTACTTCATTTTTATCAACTACTTTATTATGTATTTCTTATTGTTTTTTTTGTCACCCTATATTTCATATTGTTACTATTTTATTGGGTTGTTTTTTTTAACTATCTTACAAAATTTTTTGGAACACCTAATTCACCTTTTTTTAATGGTGATTAACCATTCTTTCGACCTCCTAATTGTAATTAACATTCTCTTTTCTTTTTGGCCTGATGCGTTTAAGTGTATTTTCTTTTCTTTTCAAATTCTTTTTTGGTTTTTATTTGTATGTGCTTAATATTCTTGGCAATGGCATTACAGGGGTTTTTGCTTCTGTCATTATTGCATGAGATGAGGCTTCTTCCTCATTTTTCTCTTCACCCATTTTTAGCATCTTGTGCATAAAAATTCCCATCTTCTTCCTCATTCTATTCAGGGCACAAACGGACTAATATGTTTGTTTTATAGGAGAATTATCAAGGGATTTCAACAAAAAAATTTAATTACCAAAAAGTCTTAATGACAAGTGACTAACCTGAATATGTTGTCATTTTTTATTCTAAAATTTATTATTACTTGCTTTTCACTTGTCAATGGACTTTAAGGTAATTAAATCTACTCTTTTAGGACTTGATTGTAATTCTCTTTTTTTTTTAATATTATTTGATGATAGCCAAAAATCTAATAGTACCATATTGACCTCTCAATATCTTCTGAGATTTTATTACAATTAATTGATGATTCTTCAAGACTTATCTATCATTACTTCTCCCATTTCATTTCTATTTATTGGTTCCCTCCTTCCTTCCTTTCTCTTTTTATTCAAACGCATTATATGCAATGAATGTGTGCAATTAAAAGAAATTCCTGAGATAATATGTGGAAGACCAAAACAAAACAAAAAAAAAGAAAAAGAAATAACTAATAAGAAAGGAGAAAAATGGATGTGTTGGGATTTGACTAGGTTGGTACGGCAACACGTTTTCGCTTTGTGAAATGATAATTAGGAACAAAATCATGCAAAAGGTAATCACTACAGTTAAGAGTGCATTAATAAAGGACAGAAAGTCAAAAGAATTAGTGACCCAACCTTTTTGCCAATCAAGCCGATATTAGAGGCATTCTTATTCTCTGTTTTTCAAATAAAATAAAATTTGTTTTCTCTAATTCATAATATAAGATGTTACTCCTCTAGTCCTTAATATAAGACTCATTTAACTAATTTGATTATATTAAGAAAGTTAAGTAAGTTAGTTAATTATAAGAAAAGTGACACATTTTTCCTAAAATACCATAATCATCTTTCTTAATACCCCCTCTCCCTCTTCTACTTGATTATGGTTGAAGGAGTATTCACATGGATAATTTAGAGAAAATTGATAAATATGATAAATGTGTCTTATATTTAGGACTAAAACTAATTCAAAAATTGAATCCTATTTTAAGGACCAAAGGAGTAGTTAAATTTTTTCACAAATTAAAAATTTATAGTTAAGTTATTAAATGTCTTTTAAATTGATAAAAATGATATATTTTACCTTTATTATAGAACGTGATTGAAAAATTCTCTATTATCTCTCCTTCTTATAATAAGAGGTAAAAAAAAACTATTATTAATTATTTTGTCAACCACTTATATTTTGGACTTAAATGTTCTTCTAAGCTAGAAGGAGTAATTTATTTAATTTGATTCTCATCATTATATTTTATTAATAGTAGTATTTTGTTGACATGATTATATGCTACAGTGACATTTACATTTCAAATATGAATTAGTCAAATTATTGAAGTTGTTGCGTTACATGCTTGACTTAATTATGTTTGATCATTCAGTTTTATTTTTTTTATTTGTACAAACTATATATAGTTTGATCTCTATATATTTAAAACCTTAATTATATTTTCATAAATATCTACAATATAATTATTGTCATTACATTTTTGTCAATATTTTTCACACTTGTATTGTTTTTTTTGGCAGAAACCACAATATAGTTTGAATTAGAATGATAAGATAATATACAATTAGAAATGAGTTCCATGAACTGTACCAAGTTTGATGCAAATTTATAATTATAAATAACCTAGTTTCTTTGTTTTTTTTTTATGGAGAAATATAGCCTAGTTTCTTATTGTAATTTCAAATTAAATTTAATATGTCAATATTTTAAATTTTAATGAAGTATTTTAATTAACATCATTTGAGTTAATTAATTTAAATGATTCTAATTGATTGAAATGACCAAAATAAAATCTTATATAAAATTAAAGAATTAAAAATGTGCAAGAACACAAGTTTGAATATAAAAAAAAAATACATTTGTTAGAAAAGTTTTAATCTTTCAGCTCAAAAAAAAAAAAAGTTTTTAATCTTAATACCTCTAGCCTAACAGGGCCAAAATAACTTGAGAGTATACTTTGAGTTATAAAAAAAAATTAAATATATACTTTTACTAATTCTAAAATAAGATTTTTAGTGGTTAATTAATTATTAATAAAGATTGTTTAAATTGGTATATTTCGTGTTCATACAAAATTGTTCAACTTGTCCCGTCTCGATCGTCATGTCCAAGTCATTGTCAACTTGGAATGAGATGGGACATGACAAAAAAAAAATTCAAGACAAGACAACTAGGACGAGACAAAATAGTAACCGGAACAAGATGCTGAACAGGATTGTCCCTGGGGTACTTTTTTAAAAAATTTATGTATTAATAATTATTATTAGATAATTTAATTCATTTATTAATAATAATAATAATTTTTTATAGTGATTTTCCGTTTTTAAACTGTGATGTTATTTTAAAAAAATCTTTTTTTAAATAAAGTAATTCATAAAGATATTATAGAGTGTTTCTTTTACGGGTTTTTTTTGTAATATTATTTTTACATATTTTTTTACATTATATAATTGAGTTTTCTACATTATATTTTTTATATTTAAAAGTTGAATTAACAGCAAACATTATAATACAAAAAAATTCATACACAAAATTACAATTTTTTTTCAAGAAACGAGATGTCTGACCCCATCCGTTTTGTCAGGACAGAATGAGATACGGAACATAAATCCCATCCCATCCCTGTTCATTAGGACGGACCTGTTCCGATCCTGTTTGGTCTCATGAATAGTCCTAATAAAAGTATATTAATTTACTTTTTTGAATCTAACCTCAAAATAAAAACAAAAACAAAAACCGACAAGAATCCACCACGTTCTTGAGAGACAAGACTCAGATTCAAGAATTCATTTAGGGCGCCAAATTTTAAAAAAAAAAAAAACTAAAAGAGGGAAACATATAGAAATTACAAATAGAAATTAGGGGGAGAGAGATAGATAGAGAAAGGAGTCAACCAAGGACGAAGAAGAAGAAGACATCAACTTCATTTTCACACAAACCTCCTGTGTCACTGTGTTATCTGTCAGATCTGCACACACACACCCCTCCATTACACTGCTTGGCTATTAACTCATCATCCATCACTATCTATTCATAAATTTTCTTCATACCTTTCTCATTTCTATTCTATATCATTATCATACTGTGATGATCTTCGATTGAAGCTGGAATAAATGTGGATATTGTTTTATAAAGAAATGGGAATGCGTGTAATTTCTGTTCCCTCTATGTTTCTGATTCTGAAGGATTGATTAGCTTCAGCTTCATTCAATAAGCTCCACCTACCCCAAGTAAGCAACAATGTCAGAAATGCGGGTTTCTGATCTCCACTTGAAGAAGGAGCTCACTCAAATTCGCAAAGCTGCTCGTGTTTTGAGGGATCCTGGTACTACTTCTTCGTGGAAGTCGCCACTTAGTTCGTCGAGATCTGCTGCGGCTGCTTCCGCTTCTGCTTCTGCATGGAAGAACAATGGCAACTCACAACTTCATTCTCAGTTGTCTCTTCCGAGTGGGAGCAACAATGGGAAGGACAAGATGGTGTTCTTGTACAATTGGAAGAATTACAAATCGTCAAGTGAGAAACACAATGGCGATGATAAAGTCGAAGAAGAAGAAGAGTATGACGAAGATGGTGGTGGAAACGATGGATCTTCGTCTCTTCTGTGTAGTTTCGAGGATAGCCTCAGTGATGCTCGCAATGGTTGCGATTCCAAGAGCGACACTTGCTTAGGGGTTGGCGGGAGTGGGATTCGTTCTTCCATTTTCAGGTGTAAAGATGCGAATCCTATCGCGTTGGGCACGCCATCGACCAGAAGAGCACTGGAGATTAAGAAAAAGAGTAAGAAAAGCAAAAATGCCCATTTGGATATTCAAAGAAAATATCAGCAAAGAGAAACCAATCTTGGCAAAGCTTTTGTGAATCGCAAGCATCGTACTCATCGGTCAATAGGTTATAGCCGGGAGGACTCAGTTGGGCAGTCTGATGATACTGAAGATTACTGCAACTATGAAGATTTAACACGAAACGCAGGGCCGTCTCCTTTGCTTTTGAAGCTCAAGCATAAGAATTGGTCTCGCCCTAACTCTAATTTATTGAAAAGTAATAGAAAAGAGGATTCTTCTTATAGTACTCCTGCAATGTCTACCAGTTCTTATAATAGGTTTGGTCAACATAATCCTAGTACTGTTGGATCCTGGGATGGTACGACAACCTCGGTAAACGATGCTGATGATGAAGTAGATGATCTTTTGGATTTGCCTGGTCGTCAAGGATGCGGTATTCCTTGCTATTGGTCAAAGAAGACTCCAAAACATAGAGATATGTGTAGGAGTTGCTATTCACCTTCACTTTCGGACACTCTTAGGAGGAAAGGAAGTAGCATGCTTTGTGGAAGTCAAACTATCTATCCTAGACACCGAAGATCCTTGTCAAGCTCTCACAAGCGGAGAATTTCCTCAAGGAGCGCTCAAGGTGTTCTCCCATTGCTCACTAACAGTGATGATGTTAGAGGGTCATCTCTTGCAACTGGCATAAGTGATGATGAACTTTCTACAAACTATGGGGAGCTTGATCTTGAGGGCATAAGCAGGTTGGATGGAAGAAGGTGGTCCACAAGTTGTAGGAGTCAAGAAGGATGGGAGATTGTAGCTTTCAATGGAGAAGGGGATGGTGATGGCACTCCAGAAAGTAGTAGAAGTTACAGTCAAAAGTATAAGCCTGTGTTCTTTAGTGAATTGATTGGGCAGAATATTGTGGTCCAATCACTTAGGAATGCAGTTTCAAGAGGTCGAATTGCTCCTGTTTATCTTTTCCAGGGTCCACGTGGGACTGGTAAAACATCAACGGCCAGGGTTTTTGCTGGTGCATTGAATTGTATTGCTCCTGATGAAACTAAACCTTGCGGCTACTGCAGGGAATGTGCAAATTTCATTTCTGGAAAGAGCAGGGACCTTTTGGAAGTTGATGGAAGCAATAGAAAGGGGATTGATAGAGTTAGACATCTATTGAAAAGATTATCAGTTAGGTCTTGTTCAGCCTCCTCACGATACACGGTCTTTGTTATTGATGAGTGTCATTTGTTACCCTCTAAGACATGGTTGGCATTTCTTAAATATCTGGAAGATCTACCTCAGCGAGTTGTGTTCATATTTATAACAACGGATCTTGACAATGTACCCCGAACAATACAATCTAGATGCCAGAAGTACCTTTTTAACAAAATTAAAGATGCAGATATAGTAGCACGGCTGAGAAAAATATCTGCTGAGGAGAACCTGGATGTTGAAACAGATGCGTTGGATCTTATTGCTACGAATGCAGACGGTTCACTTTGGGATGCAGAAACTATGTTAGAACAGTTGAGCTTGCTGGGAAAAAGAATTACTGCTAGTCTTGTCAACGAACTAGTGAGTTTTCTCTTTCTTTTATTATTTGACCTAATCTGAAAATGTAACTGTTATTCTCATATTTTGATAATCAATAATGTCTGCTTTAATAAATATTATTTGATCTTTTTCTATCATTCAAGTTTAATGCTGTGGTGCATTACCTGCAACAGATGGGGGTTGTTTCAGATGAAAAATTACTAGAACTATTGGAGTTAGCAATGTCATCAGACACTGCAGAAACAGTGAAAAGGGCCAGAGAATTGATGGACTCTGGAGTTGATCCAATTGTTTTGATGTCCCAACTGGCAAGCCTCATTATGGACATCATTGCGGGATCATATACAGTCATAGATGACAAACCTGGTGATTCATTTTTTGGCGGACGAAGTTGTGAGTGATCTTGATCTTTGATCTCAAATATTTGTATTGATACTGTGAAAATTCCATCGTCCCCGACAGTCATATATGAGGCATTATTAACTGCAATGCCCTTTCTCTGTTAAAAGAAAAGTTCATTAATTGTCATCTAAATCAAAGAGGAACGGCCAAACATTATTGACCAGGTTGTCAACGGAAACAATTGAATCTTCATTAACTTAGAGGGCATAATGTTGGACCGTGATACTTTTATGATATGAGCTGAAAGATTCTGTTATTTTTTTAGCCCTGCAAAACAAAGTAATGCAACTCTTTATAAATGGCTTGTGATTGCTTGAGTACTGCATGAAAAGGCATTAACAGCTATGTATTATAACTATTCAGAATGTCAAGCTTCCTGTGTCTTAATTTTTGCTTCTGACCTTAGACTTTGATAGATATTCTCAGAACAATTAAATTCAAATAAAGTGATGAGCACTTGACATTGTGAAGCTTGTTGCTGCCTTTTCTGGGTTCCATGTATCGCATTTAAATTTCATTGTCTATTATAATTATGGGAATCTGAAGCACTTAATTGATTACTGAGATGAACACTTGGGTTTCACACTCAGTGAACGAATCAGAGTTGGAGAGATTAAAGCATGCTTTGAAGCTTCTCTCGGAGGCTGAGAAGCAGTTAAGGACTTCTAGTGAACGCTCGACATGGTTCACAGCTACTCTGCTACAGCTTGGTTCAATGCCTTCGCCAGATATTACTCAGACCACCAGCAGCAGGAGGCAGAGCAGCAAGACAACTGACGATGATCCATCAAGTGCTTCAAGAGAAGTAACTGCTCACAAGAACAAATCAGATGTTCAGTGTATGCCTCAGAAATCAACATCGCCTGCATCTCTGCAGAAAGCTGTAAATAGCGATCCCAGCCACCAAAGGCAGTTATCATCAAAGTTCGATGGTTTCAGCTTGAATTCGAAGCCGTCAAATAGTCCAGTCATAGATGATGACACCGCACCAGTTTCATTTGATGATCATAGAGTTAGTAATGTTACATTTAGATGCATAGATTCGGGGAAGTTACGTGATATCTGGGCACGTTGTATTGGAAGGTGTCACTCAAAGACATTGCAGCAGCTGCTACATAATCATGGAAAACTTGTATCCATGTGTGAAGTTGAAGGTAATTTGATAAGACTTTCGCCCAAAATTGAACATATTGCTTGCCAAAATGAATCCAAGTCCATGTCTTGCAGACGCAGTTGTAGCTACTGATTAAGATGCTTCTTTTAGCTATGAACTAAGGCAGATAAATTCTGTAAGGCATCCAGTAGTCAGATATCCGTTTCTGTTTTATTGCTGTTAGTTAGCATGGGTTCTTGACTAAGTCATTGCTCTTGCATCAACTAAAACAAAAAATTTGTTTAATCAGAATATACGATCTTGTTTGGCCATCTTTTCATTGTCTAATTATGAAAGAAGAAAGTTGATATTTGCGACATAGTGTGGTCAATAAATGTCAACATGATTCAAATACCTGTCATCAAGAAAGTGGACCGCATTGCTGGTGAAGGGCTTGTTCCCTTATATTAGGCTGCCATCTGCATTCCTTCTTATTTCTTTGCAGCACTTTTATAAAAATACCTTCTGTTCATACCTTTCATTCAAAAGATACTATTTTGACCTTACAACTTAAATTCAACCTCTTTTTTCCAGGTTCCTTTTCACCTTGTGTCAATTGAAGCTCTCTTTTTCTCTCCTAATATGTTTTTTCTTGCAGGCCTGCTGGTTGCATATGTTGCATTTGGGGATGCAGATATTAAACTTAGGGCTGAAAGGTTTTTGAGCAGCATAACAAATTCCATGGAAATGGTTTTGAGACGAAATGTAGAGGTCAGAATTATCCACTTGCTTGATGGTGGAGGTGAAAATCAGATCAATCTATCTGGCTCAAAACAGGCAGAATCAATAATAGCAAATGAGAAGGAGCATAGAGAAGGTCATACAAGAGGAAGAGACACTTTTTCGGATTTACCTCCTTTGCTGGATGGAAACTTTCAATCTACCAATGATTCGTCAGATTTACTGGTTGATGGAAATGGTGCAAGAGAGAGATCAGATATTCCAATGCAAAGGATTGAATCCATTATTCGTGAGCAGAGGCTGGAAACTGCTTGGTTACAAGCTGTAGGAAAAGGCTCCCCAGGATCATTAAGTCGCTTGAGACCTGAAAAGAATCAGGTCCTGCCTCAGGAAGGTATCTACTGTAAAGACCCAACTGAGTCTATGGACTCAATGAGGTTTTCCTCTCAGCATAGGGAAGATGACATCAGTCATGAAGTCAAAGTTTTGAAAGCTAAAACTGGAAGGGTCCTTCAAAAGGATCAGATTGGAATTGGAAGAAGGGCTGACTGTTACTCCATGTCCCCTAGTTTATTGCATGATGGCAGTTTAGTGACAACTTCCATCAAAGACAGTCTGTAAGTTAAAATTTAAATTTTGCGGTTTATTTGCATGCTTATTTCCGGTGATCCCTCCTTTTTACATGATTGGATACTGTAGTTGTAAATTGCATGGTAAGCTCCCTGCAAGAACCTGAGTGCTTGAAGTAGCCTTGCCAGAAGAAAGATGAATTTTTGGAGGTTGAGATTAAATTTGCAGAGCATCAAGTATTATTTAGCTTCTGAGGCAAAGCAATATTTCAATGTTGAGGTTAAAAATATTGAATTGTTGAGGTAGCATTAAAATGTCAGACACTGATAGAGGCAGAAACAGAACATTTCAATTGCTTTTGATTCTGTGGTCTTATAGTTTCTTATTAAGGTTTATAAGCAAGTTTGCGTTATTTTTTAAATGTTGTTGTATTATCTGTTTCTTGCACTTGAAGTCACAGAGCTGCCTTGTTCAACCGTCAGTATTATCCCTTCTTTTAATATGAACCAAATATGAACCAGTATCAACATTCCTTATATGGTGAACTAGCATAGACATTTTTGTTATTAAGATGGAAAATTATTCCACTTGGAGCTAGATGTATTTTTTAGACAATTGTAGAGATGTCTGGTTAAACCTCACGAGGATTGATATTTCCTCCATGAAATAGCAAAATTTGGGCTTTATTATAATTATACTTGTTTTGAAATGATCCTCGTAGTTACTTGATTGCTTTTCCTTTTTTGTTCACGGAAATGAAAACTATCGTAAAGTGTAAACTATGACTGAAACACCTTATGTGATATAGGTTTCCTGTATCTTATTACCCACTATTTACTGCCTTTTTGTTATTTGAAAAGACAAATAAAGAAATGCTGAAACTATAACTTTAGCTCAATATACTTGTTAGTGCCATGGAGCTTGATGATCATATGATTGATCTAATGACTGTTTTTCACCTGGAAGTGTATCAAAAGATAATTACTAAATTGCTTGGGAAACATTCTGTTTTGTGCTTTGTTCATTAAAAAAAATTTACATTTGATTCTTTATTTTATGTTTATTTATTTTTTATTTTGGTGTCCAGCCATCCTTTTATGGGCCTGCAGAAAAGAAATTGAGGGTTTAACTATACATTGTTTCTTTTATCAATATAAAATATGACATTTATGATAGGGCACACTATTTATAAGTCATAAACAATGCAACTCCTTTCTTAGATTTAATATATTGCACAAGAAAACTGAGGCAAAACTCTAGTTATAACCTTCAAGAACCAAAGTTTGAATTTAGTAAAAGAGATGCTCTGCGTTCTCTTATGTCTCATTTTCACCTTGATATGACAATAAATTTGATAGTAGCTAAATAAGATTGATTAAATCCACGAATAACACTGCTCCTTCCAAACTCATTTTTTGTATCTTTTGGTTAGTAACTCTGCTTTGTTTCTGCAGGGGATATGAATCAGGCCCAGGAGCAAGAGGTTGTAGTGGATTTTTGTGTTGGAACAACTCCAGCCGTCGAAGGGTAAAGGTAGGCTATCTCTGTGCTTTGCTTGTTTATACTTAAAAAAAAAAAAAAGTCAATATTCTTTTTGTGTAAAACTGTATCTTCTCTCTTTACAAAACTTGCTAACTTTCAATCTATTCCTGTTAGGCTTTTTTCTTTCAGTTTAACTTCTCATCCTTTAGATTACTGTTGATGCTATATTAATGTAGATGCTAACAGATGGTTGAGTTGGATGTTTTCTACTTAGGTGGCAATAGTTAACTCAAGCCTAGCACACACGCTATCAAAATAGTATTAATTCAGTCAATGAAACCAGTGTTGGTGGGGAACTTTGGAGATACTGAGCTTTTGAATTTACTGACATCAAGGTTTCTGATCAGAGCTTTTTCTTTGAGTAAGCATATGCAAATTAACAAATATGATCAAGTCTAGTGGAGACCAATGGAGTACGGGATACAGATAGTGGCATAATGAATAGTTGGTTTCGCATCTCAATAACTGGCTCTTGTGCGATGCCCGTCTCGGTCCTATGTTAGCCTGCGTTATGTATGAAAATGGAATTCAAGGGAAATACTGAAAGAATGAATGTGGCAAAATTCAAAATGCATTTTATCTGTCAAGGATAAAAGTAGGAGTTTTCATCTTTTAGAAGCATTTACTTTTGACATATCTATATATCCTTCCATGATATCAAAATTTGAGTCTACACTAAAAAATTTTCTTTTTGTTTTATCACTGAATAAAACTTTTCCGTGACTCTGAACAAACCTGGCGTGTTTTTTATTGTAAGCAGGTAAAAGGTACCCCAGTGCGGAAAGTGGGGCGCTTTTCAATGTTTGGTGAGTGTGGTAAGTCAAAGAGAAAGAGTTGAGAATCTGACCCTGGGCACGTTATTCAGATCTAGTTTTGCCTATATACTTCCTTTTTTTCTTCAAAAAGTTTTGTGTAGGTTTATTTTTCCCCTTCCATTTGAGCGATTCTTCAAGGATGTGAGTGAAAAAATGTAGAGGTTATTTATGTTCATCTTGTGTTCCTTTTGCTCCATCCCTTATTTAAGAAATCAATAAAGCGGGACAAAGAATGAACACCTTTATTTCCCTTTCCCCAATTTCGTTATTTTCAGTATTCTGTGAGAAAGTTCATTGCAAATCTCTTTACTCTATTTTTTTTTTTTTCCTTTTGACCTGGTGTTTAATTTATCCTTTGAATCAAGGGAACAATATAGTTTCGCATAACTGTTGTCTGCTATAAAAGGCTTCCTTCCTTCCTTCCTTTTCGTGTAGCAGATAAGAACTTGATCAATTTGATTAATAAATGCTCATACTTTCTGGTATTTGACAAAGATAAAGACAAATTAAGGGGGGAAAAGGGAAAACCAAGAAGTACAAGCTGAAACATGTGAGAAGCTCAATAAACAAAGCTGGTACTATTGGCTTAGGTAAAATATTTTTGAAGAGTCACATATTCTTATATTGTAAGCAATGCAATTTCTTATCATTTAAATATTTTTTTTTCGTAGATTACAAATGAAACGGAGATAAAATTCCACTCTGGGTTTTATTTTGTTATACATGTGATCAGAAAAAGTGACTTAAAACTGGGATTTTGAGAGCGTTATGATTTGTTTCTTTTATTTATTTTTATCTCTTATTTATTATGTTTTATGCTGACATTTGTCACATCAGATTATTGAAACCTGGAAGAAAGGAAAACAAAGTAAGAAAGCAAAGGAAAATGTAAATAAAAGAAGGGAGAGATTGAATAGTTCCATATCCTTTTTGTATTGTTCGGGAAGAGAAAAGTGTAAAGGGAATGAGGAGTTTTTTTTTTTTTTTTTGTTACAAGGAGGCGGGATCCAACCCGCAACACACACCCCACACGCCCACCGCTGCCGGCCGGTGGTGGAATGAGGAGTCATTTGCTGTGACATTTATTGGTCGAATTGAATTGTTTGATTTGATAGAAGACAAAAGATTTAAGAAAAACTTCTATAATTATTCAGAGTACTAGTAGTTTCAATGTGCATGCATGGGCGAATCAATTCAATTTCTCTTATCATTAAATTTTTGGGAAAATGACAAACAAAAACGTTGAAAAATGTAATATTCTAAATCAGGCACCAAAAAATTAAAATTGACAAAAGAAAGTGGTGTCTGATTTTTTGCAAATTTAATTAAATGATGTCCTTATATCAAAAAACTTGTTAACAAGTTCTGAATTGACAATTACAAGTGTTAAATAGCAAATGACCAAAAAAATATTGGTAATGACAAATTATTTAGGGGAAATTGCAAAAACGCAGATAGGAACCCTTGATAACTTTACTTTGGGTTTTGACAACTTCAGGGCATATTATTCTTGTCAAAACCCAAAATGAAGTTGTCAAGGGTCCCTATCTGCATTTTTACAATTCCAAAGTCTTTTTTTGCAATTTTTCCAATTATTTATTGATAAGGTGTGAACTAGCAATAACAAGTATTGAACAATTACTGACAAAAAATGCACTGGGAATAACAAGTTTGATTTTTTTTTTTCCAAATCTGTATAAGAGCATTTTAATCATTTAATCACATTTGTAAAATACCAAATCAAACATTACTTCCTTTTCTGTCATTTTTAACTCTTAGGTACCTAAACTGAGAAATGATAATTTCAAGGTTCCCTCTCTGAAATTTTTCCTAAATTTTTTTAGAGATGATTTTTGGGGTAAAAAATTATATAAAGGGAACTTTAATTTGCAAATTAACTTGTTTTCTTTTCACCAAAGACAAAAAGAAAATGATATTCCAATAAAATAAAAGATCCTCGCAAATTACAACAGCTTAGCTATCCTACTTTATGAGAATTAAAATTGAGAAAACCAGATTTAAAAATAACAGTTTTTTAAATGAAAAAATAAAAATTAAAAAAAAGGGTTTGGACATAAGAAAAATTACCAATGAGAGCAAGAATTTCTTCCCAAGTGCAAGTGACATTAAGGACAGGCAACTCAATAGTAGGGACTTAACTTTTTCCCTATACAATGAATATGCAAAAGAGGCTATCTAAAATGCTCCTCAAATTAGAACTACAAATTCAAAAAAGTCTTAAGCATTTGGAGTGAAAAGTTGAACTTGGAACGGCTTTGTTCTTTAACAAGAATTTCTTTATTCCCCGAATAACAGATAATACCATAATAATGTTGTCTAAGGGGCAGCACACCCCATCCTTCTCTATTTAAGATTATACCAAAGTGTTAACAAAAGTAAGGATAATTACAAATAAAAATAATCTTTTAATTATTATTTTTTACATTGAAAAAAGCTCAGTTAGACAGACATCCCCGAAAATTGAGACAGGTTACAAAGGTTTTGATCGAATCAAATGATGTACCTAATCCATGTTGTATAAACTTTGTTTTTCAGACTTTGTATGATATTACCTCCACTCCTTAATATAAGAGTTCATTTGACATGCAACTTGATCATAAATATAAAATCCCAGTCTACTTTGTTTCTCATATTTATCTATTTTTTTAAGATAGTCTTTGTAATAGTTGCACATGTTAAATGTTCCATCAAATGATAGTTTTAACTAATACACATAATTAAAAAGGATATTTTAGGAAAGACAACACTTATTTATGACAAATAATTAACTTAACTAATCTTTTTAATCTACTCAAATTAAGTAACTAACACTTGTATTAAGAATTGGAGATAGTACATAAAATCCAACTATTTAGTTCATGCGAATAAATCTTGCTTACACGACTTTGAATAATACTAAACAATTTTACTCCTATTCTCTGAACTTCGATTCACCAGTAGCACTAAAATCATCAAAGAATTGCTAAGTACTAGTGGAATCTTAATGAGCCAAAGAAAAATGGAAAATAAATTTCACAGATAGAATTTCTAGTCCCCAAGTACTGTAACATGTTTGGATTGTCATTAAAGAAGTGAGAGAGGGTATGCAAGAATGGGAGACTCTTGTATCATTATGAAATACTGCCTCTGGTTCTATATGCAAAAGACAGTTTTTGGGATTAGCATCATCTTATTATTTACAAGTGTTCGAAATTTTAAACCTTTTTGTTTTCTATTTTTGCCCGGTTAATTGCGTCTTATAACACTGCATTAATTCTTTTTCTCACTTTATCTCTCCACAAACAAGAGTACTTTGAGGGGAAAATATATTCTTATGTAACATCTTACTCCAAAGATTTAGATGAGAAAGATTTATCATCAATGATTGAAATCTTACGCTAAAAAGGTGATGTTTTTAAAACCTTTTACTCAACTCCATACAAGTCTTTTTAAGAATGAGATTTTCTGAAAATTTTAGCAATTTATAAATCCTTATTTTCTAGCTTCATTATTGGTTCATACTTGCAACTTGTACTCCTGAAAATCTTCAGCTATAAATTAAAGACCCAGATTCGCCCCAAATCCATTGGTTTAGCAATATTTATTTATCAGTGCTGTCCAGATTTTACTTTCGAAGACTTTGCTCCCCTGTTCCAGCTCTAATAAATCATAACTGGTAAATTACACATCCAATCCAAAATATTGGATGTGTACTTCATGGATTCATTCACATCTCACGTATAATCTATATCACTAAAACCCAACTATGTAAGATCTACTCCCCTCCTGCATTCCTCCACACATACAATCATATCAGTAAAGTTTAAATGCTCCACAAAATGGGAACATAAACAGAAAAAATATTAATGTCACATTGATTAACAGTAACAAATCAACTAAACTTCCCCTTTTTCCACCTTAGCTATGCTCCTACCAGCTTCTCTTTTTCCTTGACTGAAATAGGCCCTATTGTCAAATCCATAGAAGAGAGCAGTGAGGTTCAGGGAATCTCAATAGCAATAATCATATTTCAGTATATTATGTATGGTAGAAGCTGAGCATGCAAAACAAGTTTCAAAGAACATCTGATAGATAATTGAACTAAATAACTTGTACGTATTTGCTATTATATAACTGAATCATATATATATATATATATATATTTGCGCATATTCAATGATAATAAGTAAATTGAATAGCTATCTGATGTGCATTAGCCTTCATATAACTGAATCACATGCATACACACATGCACATACAGGTGCGCGTGCGCCCACACTCACATAACGCGTGCGCACGCACAAAGGTCTTTTGAGCATATTCACTTATAATAGCTCAACTAAATAGCTAACTGATGAGCATATACTTTGCAGAATACTGCACTATATCGTGAAATGGGTGCACATGGCCATAACAATATCTATGGCAAGAAAATTATATATTCTCATGCTTAACTATCGCAAGTATGAGACAAACAAACATGCAACCAATGCAAAACATACGAAATTAATAATTAAAGCTACCTTTCTCCTGCTCTGTTGTGTTGGTACACCGCTCTGGGTTTCTTCTTGATAGCTCCGGCCACAAATCAAATCCTAACATTATACGTGTACACAAGGTAAATCAAGAGTTGGGTTATGGTTAACTTATAACTAACTAAATCTTCCTATAACCTCCACTCAAACTCTCGTCTTTTGAAGTGATCGATTATCTAGAACAAAAATTTTATATTTTATCTTTATATTTCTAAGGCCCTCCTAAGCCTCCCCTTTTCGTATGTTCCTCTTAGCTTCTTAATGCATTATGATTCAGCTAAGGGAATAAGAGTCAACTTAGTTATTAACTCTTCAAGCTTCTTGAATAATTGTTTAGCATAGATAAGCATAAAATAAAGACTTAAATCATCATTCCAATGCCTCCAACTATAAATAGCTGTATGGACATTGACTCAACATTTAGAAATATTTAAAAAGAATTTCAAATCAGTTCCTAAGCTCTGATTCATAATAACTTTCAACTTTTAAAACATTACCCAAATCACCAGCAGTGCACAAAATCTCTACAACATTCCAAACAGCACCATTTTATCAAATCTGGAAATTTGCCCCTAATTAAGCATCACCTAAAGCATTTGTTTAACACTATAAAAGTTCCAAATTCAAAGAAATGCCTTCCCCCATGCTTCACACAGCCTTCTTCCCAAACAAATTTAACTATCCAAGTTGATTATTCAGCACTTAGGAGCATCAACAAGAAGTCTTACATCACTTCTTTTTAACTTTCAATAACATGTTCAAATAACTATATCAGGAGCTAAACCATTTAATAATAATCAGTAGCTTCAATTTTAGCATCTTGCTAATCATTTTGGTATTCCAAACCACAGTTTAAGCATCTAGAGTAATGGTTCAGTAAAGGCAACATAAATCAGCAATATTGTAATCAATATTCCAGCTTTTACAGTATTCAACAAATAATTAACACTTATTTCATTTAAAATTTCTAACATCACTCGTATGAGAAAACAATAAAACATCTCTGGTCCTTCAACAAATTCAAATCCATCATTGCTATTATTATTCAAAACTAACAAGCGTTTTTGTTCAACGCAAGGGACCTACAGTACAACGATCATTTTGCATCACTTTCACACTGGTATTCTCTTTCCATTAAGAAAAAGGCAAAGGAATTCATTGCAAAAAAAATCAAGATCTATAATATCCATTATATCCCCTTTTAAACATTTGCTATCTTGGGCACAAAGAGCATTTCTGATACTAAAAATCACTTTTTCCCTTTTTAAAATTCCAATTTCTTCCATTCCAATTCATATATTGTGCAAGACCTGCATATTCTTCTATGCACCAAATCCGATGTTGAAATCAAAATTATTACTGAAAGGGGACTTTGGGATAGTGAAACTGCAAATCCAACAAGAAACTTGCTCTCATTATTTACAATTTCTTCTTGATGCCAAAAATTGCAGGACATTAGCTAATTTATTCCGAAATTTTCATGATTGAAAAACACTTTTTTTTTTCAAATCTTTTCCCCCATCAAGAGGTGAAATGACAAGAATGAAAAAAACCAGAAAATGTTCATGAAGACTCACCAGAATCCACATGTAATAATCTCTCTGCCAGTAACAAGTCATCAGGAGTAGTGACCTGCACAAGAGCTCCCACCATGAACTTCATATTGGAACCAAAGTTCTTTCTTTGGTAGCATAGCTCTGAATTTAAGAACAACTAGAAGTTAAAGATGCAAAAGATTCATTGAAGTGTCTTGATTACCTTGATGTTGGTGTAAGATCCTTCAGTGATATAAACAGCATGTTGAAGGTGCTCAACGATGGAAACATCATCGGTAACTTCTAGACCTCCGCTGGAACAAAGATTGCACATACCAGTTAGGTGCTGAAAGAATTTATATACTCCCATTATCTGGATTTGCTGATAATGATCAAATTATATACAGCAAAGAAATTTTAACATAAGGTCGATTTGTGAGCATGAAGCATTGGTACTCCAAAAAAGAAGGTGCATTTACATCAGATAGATACTTAATTCCATGCTTAAGGAGTACTCTTAGCATTCATATGTTTTTTTTTTGTTGGTCTCGTATGTTTTGAAACACTTCAAAATAACTCAAGAAGTTAAGAAGTATCTTAATGAAATGAATAAAGATGAAGATTAATACAACAACAAGGTCTTATCCCACTAGGTAGAGTCAACTACATAGATCACACAATGCTATTGTGTTCTATTAACAACTAAATTCTTAGATAGGTTAACCAAAACATCCAATTGAATGACCTCATTAAGCGTTCTCTTCAATCTTCCGCTGTTCTTTTTTAACAGACTCCATACGATCTAATCTACCCTCCTTACCAATGGCCTTCTTTGCAGATGACTAAATCAAATATAAGCAAGTTTTAATCATTTTCTCTTCAATAGGCTCCACGCCTACTTTTCTTTTGATATGATCATTTCAAATCTAATCTTTTTTTGTATGACCACACATCCATCTCAATATTCTCATTTCTGCCACTCCAACTTTAAGCTTATTAGGTACCTTCTTATCACAAATAACTCTAGTAGCATTTCTCTAGTTGAACGACCCAACTTGTATCTTATGTGAAACATCTCCATCAATTTCACTAACTCAATATATAATTGGTCCTAGATACATATACTTTGTCACTTGAGGAATGATTTGATCTCCCATCATAACCTCCAAATCACTATTGACTTACTTCCTGCCAAAATTGCAATACATATATTATGTTTTACTCCTATTCAAGCAAAAACCCTTCGACTCCAAAGTCCTTCTCCACAACTCTAGTTTAGAGTTAATATCTTCTCTTGACTCAGCCATAGGAACTATACCATTAGCTAAAAGTATGTACTTACGGATTTCTTCTTGAATAAGCTTAGTGAGAACATCTAGAACAAGATTAAACATTATAAAGTATGAAAGGAGATGAAGATTAACATTGAATCTTAATAGAAAATTAGTCATAATTTATTCTTTTATGAGTAACTTGCCATGAACAATTTTATATTTTGTGTATGTGATGCATGCATTTAACAATTGTTATATCTCACATATAATATTCAATGTTTATTTGTATCAACGCTTCTAAGCTTGTGAATAGAATCTACATCAACTGATCTCGTACAAGAATGCTTTATTGACAGCTTGTTGGTTAATGCCTACCACAATAACACTTCATCACACTGAACAGCTATTGATATCAAAGTTATGCATGATAAAAAAGGAATTACCCGTTTACAAGCTCAAATCCTTCTCTCAGCAACTCAGGCTTGATAACCTGTAGTCAAAAAGTTAGATGTGCATCTTCCAATAAATGGGTAGTTCTCGCTATAAATGAGACAAATATAATCATGTTTTGCAGCATTAACCTGCGGAGTCTGCATCTCCCATAGTGTTTTCCTGTCCAGTGTTTTAACTACAAAAGATTCACTGTTTGCCTGCAGATAGATTGATAGACAAATTTCACAATTCCATGGCTAAAATTTAAAAGTAAATTGAACGGCATTAAGGACCTTAGGTCAACAAATGGAAGAAATTGTGTTAAACAATAAATTGACGGTGCTCAAATTAGGTTTTTCGACAAGAACTCCCAGATAGTGCTCAAATTGGTCATAGAATTGTAAATGACATGAAAGCTAGATGGAAACACGTGTCAGTAGGGAGGAATAAGTATAAAAGGATGGGAGGTAGAAGATTTAAAATCTTTTAGATTAATCTGTCATATCTTGCAGATTACCTTTTTTGTATAGGGGTATGCCCCTTTTGATGTATTTTTTACGAGAGGAATATGATAATGTCACCTTTCTTCTAAACAAATAAATTGATAAAAGTGAAGCTGGCTATACTGGTTGCCCACAGCATTAAGCTCTATCAACAATTAACCATTTAGAAATATCATTCAGCGGCGACTAACAATTGTTAACCTCCACTAAATGAGGTCAGGTGACACGACTCCATCAATAATTAACAGTAAAATGATAATGTCATTAATTTAGTTGTTGTATTAATGGACCGATATAATGAATTAACACATCTAAGAAGCAAAGAAGACATGGAAGGTGTCACAAAGTTACTTGCATTTCAATTCAAAAGGAAGCTTGCAAAAGAATACAAGGCCCCTTTTGTCATCTATACAGAAAACTGATTCCATTCCTCCTTTTTTTTTTTGCAATGACTATTGTACCCTTGTAATTAATACAAAACAAATTTCATCTATACGAGGGTTATTTTCACCCCCATTTTGTTTTTTAACTCAAATTTTTCATTGTGTACCAAATGGATTCTTAAGTGCCCAGGTGGGGGAAAAAGAAAGAGCTTCTCATTCCCGCAACTGTGTAATACTTAGAGATATATAACACAGAAGAAGCTAAGACAAATTTACCATGCCAAATTAATTAATTAATTAAAAGAAGGGTGAAAACTAGTCCACAGTCATGCATCTGTAATGTAGATCAGGCACAATGAAACTAAGGAGATTGATAATCGATAAATATACAATGGAAAAAACAGAATAAGCAAACAGAGAGACCCAAAGTTTTCTGCTTGAAGACGGACAAAACATATCACTATTCACATATCCATGCGAAGGAACCAGGTATGGAGAAGGCATTAATGGGTCAAAATACTAGATTTAGTAAGTAAATCATATAAATAAATTGATGAAAAGAGAAGAAACTGTTTAAGATTGATGGCTTCTGGTCCTGAAGCATATGCTTCTAAGTTAATTTTAGTCAACCTGAGATGATAGAATAAATAAGCTGCACATCAAATTTGTCAATAAGTATTTATCTAAGGATTGCTTCAGACAGGAGCATATTATATTCATTAATCACCTAGAATATTGCAGGGGAAGCAGGCATACTAGAGATGGTATTGTACCTCTTTGATTGTAGCCTTCACCGGAACTCCAAGAACAGCCGCTCCAATTGACAATCCATCTTTAAGAACCTATAAAAACAAGAAAAATGACTATTTTAATAATTAATGTCAATTGTGGATAGAAAGAGGCTAACGAGTTTAGTGAACCCATGCCTAGAAAGAACATAAACACACCCCAACAAAAACCAAGTAAAGGATGCCTTTAAACTCCAATAAAGTTAAGAGCATAGACACGTATCAATGTAAACATGTAGATCTAAATATGATTTCCATTCATAATATGGAACCTGTAATTTTTCTTCCCTGGCAAAAGAACGTAAACTTGATTAAAAGAAGCTTCAGATGCTTAACATCTTCAATAGGTCACCCCATATATAGAAGTACTTAGTAGGAATAGCATCTTGAATCATCTATAATAGAGCTTTTCCTTTGTAGTAAAATGCCACAAGAAAGCTCTACCTTAATTCTTTCACTTTTCTCTTTTCTCACATATTACAATTAAACATCAACCAAAGAACAACAGCAATAAAGCCTTATCCCACTAGGTGGGTCGTCTACATGGATGACGCCACTGAGCTCTATTAAAGACCAAATCTTTGGATATATAGTTAATTGACCTAAATTGATGTCTGGCTTTTGGTACTCTTTGCTGGAAGCTTTGGGTGGTTAGGAACAAATGCCTTTTCTCCCATGAAACCTTTACCCCAGAGAATATCGACTTTTCTGTTCGTAGTATTGTTGAAAACACTGTAAAAGCTAATGAGCTTATCCGTGCTCTAGGATCTAGATCTTAATCTCCTTGCTTTCTTGTTGCAACCATCCTGCATTTGTTTTCTCTATGAATAAAATTCCCTTTCCACTCAGGGGAAAGAAAACCTCAAAGCTTGATGGAAATAATTAGATCAGCTTGACAAATATTCCATATTTCACTCTCACAAAGATGACACAATATTCTCATTTAAAGCAACGGACTCAGTAAGCAATTTTGCCCAACGGAAATGTAGTTGACCCACCTTTTTCACATCTCTTGCCAATACCAGAGGTCTTGCAGAATCATGGATACAAACCAGCTCAGAGTTTGGATCAATAGCCTGTATAATGAAAGAGCATTTAATAATTTTTCATAGGATTCATAGATAAAATGGGATACACCAGTAAAAAAATTCTATAAGTAAGATACTCCCCAAAGCTTTCCAATTTTTGTTCATGCAATTAAAAAACAAATATCACTATATCAGACCCAGAGGTTGATAACTGCATATTGCTATTTTACATGAATCTCTCAAGTCTGAACAGCCTAAAATTAAGAATTTAGCCATGAACATTTAAAGCTTAGCTGAAATTAGAGCTTATTTGCACCATACCACAGTTTAATTCACCCAGCAATTTGATTCAAATTACCAAATCAAAGCTTAGCAAGCTATAGAATGAATGGTGGTTTGGAATTATTAAAAAATACATTCAATAAGACTTAAATTAAAGCTTTAATCAGGCAATAAAATCGTGCTTGTGCAAATAAATGTGACGTTAATAACTTACTAATTATCATGATTAAGTTATAAGTAAACAGGTAAATAACTAGACATTCCTGGAATCCATTGTAAACTGAATCCTGTCTTTCCTTCCCAGGCAGAGCAAATTTAAGCTCAGCTATGCTGTCTCCTTTGGCATCTGATTAAAGAAGAAATACAAAGACTAAGAAACAAATAAAATTACCTATAAAAGAAACCAAAAGACATGCCTACAGAGAGGAGGGGGAGGAAGCAGTGAAGAGAGGGAGGTATGATGGATTGTTAAGGAGGGGAAACCTTCAAAAATATCTCTGTATGAAGGATCACAAACAACAACGATTTCTTTCACTTCACCCATGTGAGAGAAAGTGTTGAAACTGCAAGAGGTTGGCATATAATTATATTCCCAAGAAATGAAAGATGGTAAAAACGCAAGTAGATGATACAGGCCAGATAAATGCAATATATTTCTCTGAGTCAGGATCTTAGCACCAAGAATTGAACAGAGACCGAGTATTTCAAACATTAATCATTGTATACTCTCATTGCCTTTTCTTTATGAATTCAATGCCCATCATTTGATATTAGTAGCTCATGATAATTGTTTATAATTCTTTTCTCAAGACAATTCTAACCTCTTCAGCTCAGCTATTATTATGAATTCATTGTGCACTCTGTCAGGCTTGAAAGGAAGCATAAAATACCATATCTTGCCAAGCTATTTTCTGTTCCAACTAAGAAGTGCCAATACAGGTACATGTATCAGATATGCAGTATAATACGGGGATAAGGCAATTTTCAAAATTTTAGGATACAGGTACAGGAATATAATGTATATTTTAAAATGTTAGGACGGAAGTTTGAGAACTTGACTTTTAAACGATTATTCTAAAGTTCTATAAAGATATTTATAACAATCAACCAAAATATTGGTTTTTTTTTCAAGTAATGAAGATACATTTTGCTGGGGAAAAAAGGTATAATACAAATGATATAATATGCGATATGTACCCTGAAGGACAGGACATATATCGCATTTACATTTTTGAAGAATGGGTGCTTCATATTACAAGAGTGCACCCCATCACACAATTATACAAACACATAGCGAGACTAGGATTCTTTATAGCTGAGTTAGGAGTTGCCAACTTGTCATTACCTATACAATGCAACTGGTTGGCCTAGAAGCGGAAGATACTGCTTTGGGATGCAAGCCTATTAGCACAAACATGGTAAACAGTCATATGGGCAGTGAGACATTGAAATATCCATAAAACCAAAGATTCAAAAACTCATAAGGAATTTGCATCATCCCATTATTTGTCTCCCAGATTATCATCCATGAGAAAATCTTTTCAATAGGAGTGAAAACAAAGCAAAAGCAACCCATGCATCTAGATCTAATTTGTCACAGATGATGAGTAGTCAGAGTAGATGGTATGTCAAAAACTTGGAATCTCGAAACTTACTATTATCGAATGAACTTGAAGTTTTCATGGAAATGAAAAGATAACTTCTCTTAAATGGAAATTTCAACAAGGTAATACCTAATGATCCAATTAAGTAGCAGTAGCAGTATTTATGTTGAAGGTGATGAAGGAAAAAGGGAAAAATTTTGCAATTGCATATAGTCTCTCTATTCAGTGATCAATGAAACACAGAACACTCACCCCCATCCTCTTGCCCTTCCCTCCGGCAAGGAGTACAACTGATACACTTCGTTCTTTCACAGTACAAGAATCCTGTGCAAGAATAACGGTAAGATTATTAGTATTTGTCATGCAAGGGTTAACAGCAAGCACCCTCCTCTTTTTTAAGTATAACAAAAAAAGAAACGTGTTCAAAACCTACTCGCCCAGCTTCGGCAGAGCAAACGGTAAGCCTTGATTTTGCAATTCTAGCATGTTTCAGTGAATCGATTTTATAACCTGGAAGTTTTGATTGAAACACCATCACAACAAGGGTAAACGGAGCACCAACAAAATGACAAAAAATAAGTAGTGCTAGAAAAGAAACAAATCCATTATCAATCATCAGACCATAGATTCATTCTAGTTCCTTCTCAAATCAGTGTTTTCTGAGAAACCAACAGTCTGTGGCAAACATACACAAAGTGAATAAGATGCATTAAGTTGCAACTATACTGGCGTCTGGAATAAGAAGAAGAAACAAACCATTTTAACAAGCAACAAAAACAGTGACCCAGAAAATGAAGTGTTCACTTATTAAACAATAGAGCCAAGGTTCTTCTCAGCTCAGTATTTTTGGAAACCAAGCAGTGAGCCTATCACAAACTTACATACCTCTATAGCGGAGCCTACAGTCCGGAGAAACAAACACAATTTAACAACGCAACATACACAATGACCCCGAAACTGAAGCGTTCAATTGTCAAAGAACAGGATCTAATTTCTTCTCAAGACAGTGTTTTCTCAGAACCAAAAGCACGTCCATCACAACAATACACAAGAATAAAGAAAATGCATTGACTTTCTTCTCCAGTGAAATCCGGAAAGCGAAAAAGTAAGCCTATTCAAAAACAACAAAAAGGGACACAGAAAGAGGGGGGGAAATGTTCGATTATCAAACAACAGAATCTAGTTTCTTCCCCAAGTCACAATTTTCTGCGAAATCAAGCCACAAGTGTAAACAAAAGCGAACATAACCGGAAGCAAAGGCATTGACTTGCCTCTATATTGGAGGGTGGAGTGTGGAATATAAGGCAAGGATGTGTGATAAAAATGGCAATTTCTGGGGAAGATTAAACGAGACTGCGAAGCAGAAGAAGAGAAACCAATGCCCGGAAACGAAGCTTGAGTCGCCACCATCTCTTAATCACCAAAGCCAAAAAAATGTCTTCTTCCCCACAACATGAACGAATCGGACACAAAAGAATAGGTGTTGAATGAGGGAGAAGCAGAAATCGGCCGCACGGATGAGTCTGTACTACAAGATGAGGTAAAACAAGGAAGCAATAAATGCAAATAAATAAGCAAAATTCAGGTTCGTCCTATACCAAACTAAATAGTCCAAACCAAATTCAGGTTCGGCCTATCGACATGTGAGTTCTTTGAATCTCTGATTATAAAATGCAGAGATTCATCGCTCCGTTTTTCGCGTGTCCGAACTCTTTAATTTTAATTAGTCCAAAATTCAAAAATGTTATCTCTTGCAAACTAAAATTCTCCCTCCTCCATCCCTTTCACAAAACGCAAATAACTATCAAAATAATTGGTTAAAATTATTTAAGAGAGAATAAAATACAAACATACAAAAAAATAAAAAAAAAGTTTTGCTTTTATTTCTTCTTTGGTCAAAAATTGTTTTATTTTTTTAACAATATTCTTATCTATGAAGAGATAGTCACTAACCAAGTAATGAATACAGTAAAACTAACAAATAATTAATAGAAATAAAAATAAAGAGACTAAAGTATATTTGGTCTTTTAACTTTGTATAATGTTTAATTTAGTCCTTTAACTTTAAAAAGTATATATTTGATTCTTTAATCCTAAAATCATTAGGTTTTAATAATGATTTTTTGTGACAATCATAAATGTTTTGAAAATTAAACTTAATATGTTAGCATTTGAGAATATGTTATTAACATTTAAAACTTTAATGTCATTTTTTAGAAAAATTTAGGATTAAAAAACTAAAAGTATACTTTTAAAGTGGAATTGAATTTTAAAGTTAAAAGACTAAATGTATACTTTAGCCACATAAAAAAATATACTAAATATTTTACAAGATTATTATACCTCCAATTCTAATATTAAAACACAGTTGACGTTTAAAAGTTACTATTTCTTAATTATGTATATGTTACATAATCTTTTTAAAATATTATATGTATCATTACATATATCAATTTATAAGTAAGACAAATTAATTTAATTAAAAATAATACGTTTATAAATATATTAAGATATTTAGCACTTTTTTATTTTTTAATTAATTGAGTCTTATAATAACTATTGACATTTCTTGTAAATAGGAGCACACAACATTTCTTGTAAATAGAAGCAGAACATCGTAAAAATTCCTTTTTTTTAATCGACCAATAAATTTTTCTTATACATTGGACTTGGAAAGGGCATCTTTTCATTTGATTTGTTTAAACTATATTTTCTACTCATTTTTCAACTGATTATTCAAAGTAAAACTCTTACCCTTCTTCTGGTCAATTTTTATAATTTTTTTCTTAACTAATAGCAGACGTAATTGACTAATTAAAATTCAACTGGAATTTTTGATCAATTTCAACAAGAATTGTCCTAAAATGCTTGCTGACGTAATTTTATTTTAAATATATTAAAAATAAATTAATCGCACTCAAATTTAACGCCTCCACGAACGCGGTCTGCGGCTATGACAGATAAGCATCTGAGGTTTATAATAAATAGTGACACGTAATTGGGAAAAAAAGCTTCCACGTTATCTGAAAAGACTGAAACTAAAAAAGTAATAATGACACGTAATTGAAAAAATCCTCCCCGCTATCTGGAACCAAAAAAGCGCCCTCCTGACTTGTGCCCTGTTTGGTATGCTGGCATTAGGGTAGGTCCATATGGAAATTGAATTCGTTTCCACAACTAAATTTGTTTGGTGTGAGGACAAGTCCATGGAATTCCATCAAAATTGATGGAATTGACTTCCATCGTCTTCCATGGAATATTGGAATATTCATTTTACCTTTTGCCCCTCTCTATTCCCTACTCCCACAAAGCCTTCACCCTCCTCTTCTCCGCAGGTGAATGACGGCGGCGGCGGCCCGCCGCCTCTTTTGGCAACGGTGACCTGATGCAGGCCTACCTTCTACCTTCAAGCTTCTGCTACGATGATGGTTAAAGATCGGGTGGCTTCAATCTTGTCTCCCACCGTTCTCATCTCCGTCCCTCGCGCTTGATGGCTTCGATCTGGTGGCATAAGTTTCTAGAACTGCACAACCGAGGACGGACAATTATCAAGACCTTCGACTTTTGCTTTCAATGCGTTATCATCCGATGAAACTTCCAAA